GGCTTGGCTTAAGTAAGTGGTTGAATGAAGAAACTTGTTTTACCATACAGGATGGTTTGGGTGATACGATCAGGGTTTCCCTTACTGAACCTCCAGAAGAAGAGATTGATCCGTGTCGGCGGCTGGCAAACCTCGGTATGCGAGCAGCTCAACTTCAGCAAGGAGTGGTAGTATTGCATGAACTAATTTGCATCATAAATTTTCTTAGAATCATCAACTTTGACAATTGAAAATTGGCTTCTATAGTTTTGATTTTGTATCCATTTCAGGAACTGTTTGAAGAGAAGCACCGCCGTTATTTTGATTTTCAACGTCGAATAGGGCAGTTGCCAGTTCAAAAAGAGGTCGCATTTTAACTTGAGTCACTATAAAGCCGAGTTCTCTTATTTTATTTTATTTTATTTTGAGCCCATAGGTGCAAGTTTTGCAGGGTGAAGAGGTGGATTATAGAGGTGTTTTGCATCGAGATGGTTCCGTCCTCATGTCTGTCTCCTTAGATCACTTGAAGGTTTTATTTGGCACTTCGTTTTCGCTCTTTGTTCGGTTCTGTTACTTAGCAAATATATCATCCTTTTACCCCTTGCATGGCTGGGGGGAATATTCGAGGAGATTGAAAGGGAGGACTTGTATTTTTTATATCAATTTAGTCATACATTAGTTTTAGTTGGTTGGAGTAGAAACAAAAGTGGGAATTTATTAAACAAATATACGGAGTATGATTTAATAAAGGAGATAATTATTTTCTGATATAACACTAATTCTTAGTAAATTAGTAAAACCAGTTTCACCCCTCGCCTCCTCACCAATCCTAAACCAATCAAGGACTTAATGTATATATTCTTCATTTCTTGTTTTTATTTTAGAATTAGTTTCTGAAATCTTCCCTTGATGTTTTTCTTTTGCAGGCACCTGAACTTCTATACAAATCATTAGCAACAAAACTGGTTGTTGGCATGCCAATTAAGGTCCAACTATTTCTTTTATTATCTTATTTAGTAATGATACTTTAGCACACAGTAATTACTTCTGTTGAATGTACTCTGTATTATTGAGAGTATGGTTTGGTAAATGCTGATTTAGGATTTAGCAACTGTGGACTCAGTTTTATTAAGAGAGCTTCCACCAGTTCACGACACAGATGCTGTAAGTGCCGTTTCCTTTATTTGTTTTTAAATATAATGTGACGTGAGCTGTGATGCTGATTTATATTTTGCTCCTCTACTTCCATGGCTAGCGTTTGGCTCTCAAGAGGTTGATAGACATTAGTATGGGAGTCATCACTCCTTTATCAGAGCAATTAACGAAGCCATTTCCTAATGCCATGGTCTTGGTTACTCTCAAGGAATTATCCAGTGGTGCTCACAAACTTCTCGCAGAAGGTGCAATTTTTCTATTTGTGCTTTAGCATATAATGTTTTATTGTTTTATAAATGTCAGTAGTCACCGTGTGTCATGGGTTACTTTTCTTTTAGGCACTCGATTGGTTGTGTCGGTACGCGGTGATGAACCCCAAGAAGAATTGGAGTTCCTCAAGAGCTCTGATGCTACGTTGATACTTCACAATCTACCATACACTGAAGAAACAGTTAGCCGAGTTCATGCCGCAAGGAGGTACTCTTGTGTCCTATAAAAAGTTGTGGACCAACTTAAGGAGTTATATATTAAGCAGTCAGGGGTTTATAAGATAAATTAAAAAGAGATTTGACAAAGAGTGTTCCTTTCTAAGCCAATACTGAGTGTCCCAAGCTGACAGTTGTTTCATGCCTGTTGCAGGCTGTTTGAATATCTTTCAGAAAATTCCTTGGATTTTCCAGTAATTCATCATCTCGATTTTCCCAAGAACATTCACAGGTATGAATAGTTCAAGTTTAGTTGTGTTTGTGTGCAAGAAATGCTGAAGTCACGCGAGCTTAGTACACGATCTCAATCACAGGGACGACTTAGTAATTGGTGCGGGGACCAATGCTGGTGCCTTATTGGTAGATGGGCTTGGAGACGGTGTGCTGTTAGAAGCCCCTGATAATGATTTTGATTTTCTTAGAAACACATCTTTCAATCTTCTACAAGGATGCAGAATGAGGAATACGAAGACGGTAAAGAAAAAACTGCGTGCATAATTTAGTTTAGCAATTTCATTTTTTTCATTTGAAACGGGTACATAAATTGTATAAATTTTCCTTTCGTCAGGAGTATGTCTCATGCCCATCATGTGGCAGAACTCTATTTGACCTTCAAGAGATAAGTGCAGAAATACGGGAGAAGACGTCACACTTGCCTGGTGTTTCAGTAAGTACCAAAACTGTGATGGAACTCGACCGTTTTGAGCTCATTACGTTCGCCTTATTCTGCTGGATAAAAAAACTCTTCACTTATTCATTCAACTTATATGGTTTTTTTTAATTATTAAAGGATTTCCCTTTATTCAATCATTGCCAATCAAATGACCTCTTTTAGGACTTCATCTTGAAGATATACAGCAACAAACCACTTAACTTGTTCTTCTCTCTGCCTCTTCAGATTGCTATCATGGGCTGCATTGTGAATGGACCTGGGGAGATGGCTGATGCAGACTTTGGGTACGTTGGTGGTGCTCCTGGGAAGATAGATCTCTATGTTGGAAAGGTACCCCCACTCCCGAGACTCTTAACTCACTCACCGATATACACACTCTTCCTGTCCCACTATTTTTGTCTCTCCCACTATTTTTGTTACATACCATCTTCAGTGATGTTTGTGTGAGCTACTTCACATTCAGGGCATGTTTTTTCACTTGATCAGATTAGTTGTGATCTGAATTGAATAAGTTCTGATCTGGTCTGATCTGGTTGTAGTTATATTTAAAGTTGTTTCAAATTTGATCTGATTCCAATAAGAATAAGTAGTGGAGTAAGTAATAAGAATAAGTTGAAGAGAAGAAGCTCCCATCCCAACTTTTACCTTTTTTGTTTAACATCAATATCTTGCAGGGTGTTGATATACCCACTTCCATTTTGGCTAAATCCACGCCTTTCATGTTAAATGTACAACTTTGCCCTTAAAAATTGGTTTGCATCTCAATTCTCTCTTTTGTACATTTAAGGGTGAATTTGTCAATTTAGTGGATTTAGCCAAAAAGGGACTGGACATAGCAACACACTATCTTGCAATTACCCTATCTTCCAAAGATACTGAGATGGGGAGAGTTTATTACTACGAGGTAAAAAAAATGCTTAAGGGGAGTGTTTGTTTACAGAGTGTTGTGAAGCGGGGCATTGCAATGGAGGAAGCTACAGATGCGTTGATCAACCTAATTAAAGAACATGGGCGCTGGGTGGACCCTCCAGCAGAAGATTAGTACGGTGTACTCTATACTTTCGTCCCACCTTATACCCATCAATATCGGTATAATACACAGGACCCTAGGGGATATGGTTCACCCTTTCGAAATTATACGTTACGAGTATTGTTACTTCTCTGCTATTCATGTACCAATAAAACTTGTATTCATGTGTATCTATTTATGTATGTATCTATGCATACTAATAACTACTACATCATGTGTATCAAAGTGAACTGCTACAAGTGACCATGTACTTGAATAAAAGGTGCCATAGTTTCACTCATTTGGCACTCAGCATATGCAGTTTTTTCAAAAGTGCTGGACCAATCTGCCCCTGCGCTATGGTGTTAACTGCACCAAAATGCTCTGAGGCTCCGTTTGGTACACAGAATTCAAATTATGGAATTGGAATTGAGGGCTTCAATTCCAATTCTGATGTTTGGTAGCACAAAAATTATGTGGATTTGGAATTGATAGTGCAAAAAATGAATTGGAATTGGCAGAATTCAATTCTATAGAATTGAATCCCATGGAATTTCAATTCCAATTCAATTTCAATTCCATCAATTCCGTATACCAAACGGACCCTAAGGTATTTTAGTTTGGTGTGATATTTGCAATGGGTAAATCTATTTTTAATACGGAGTATTAAAATTTGATATCATCTTTTTCATAGCGCTATTTATTTGGAATTTGGCTTTGTCTGCTAATGAGCTTTGCAAAATTATTACTTTCTCTGAGTCCACTCCTACTGCACGCTGCGAGATTTTGATCTTGTACCTTGTTGTAAATCTATACTTTTCAGAAAAAACTAAGCTACCCTGCGGGCTACATAATCCATTTTTTGTGCTGAACTACATAATTCATTTTATCTTTCACATATGTGGCATCTAAATTTGATTAGATATTCTCATTGTGAAGAGTCATGATGGGATAGAAACATACTCTCTCCGTCCGCAAATAAACTTTATATTGCGCGTTACGATGTTTGACTTAAGTTATTTTCAAATCATTTTATATGAAAAATGGTGTAGAATTGAAAAATAAAAATTACATATTAAAAAATTATATCAAAAGATCTACAAAACTAGAGGTGACATGACTATATTATTTTATCAAATGGGTGACGAAAATAGGCCAACAAAGTGAATAAAGTTTGACCATGTGAATAGTGAACGCAAAGTTTATTTGTGAACGGAGGGAGTACTAAACTTGACAACAAGTGTTTCACAGAGACAAAATACAGTCATTATATGTGACACATAAATAATCAGTGTTAAAATATTAATCTCATTTTTTAAAAATTAAATTATCATTCTTTACACTCCTGATACAACATACGTAGTATGCAGTTATTAATAATAAGAATACATAAACACTACGAATTACTCCCTCCGTCCCTGAGTATTTGTCCACTTTCATTTTTGCACATCATCCAATGCACTTCTTTAATCCATTTTATCTTGTAATTTGTATATTAAAAAATTATAAAAATTATATATTAAAAATTATAAACTTTATAAAAAAAACTAGAAAAATACGATTCCGAAAATAATTGCTTCATCACCACCTCTTTGGGTATATGGATGGCATGAATCTATGGAGATGAGATTGTTGCGAGTCTCAATTTCAAAGATATGCGCGCATATAGGGTGGCGGCGCCGCGGCGGCGGCGAATTGAATGATGATCAATTGCACAAGTCCGAGCTTAGCGGAACCCGAAATGCGCCCGGCGGATATTGTCCTGTCGCTTTTTGTAAATCTTCCCTGCCAACCCTGCCACAAACACACCGGAAATCACTCCGGCCGCTATTCCGGCCTTCTTCCCGCCGCTCATTCCGCCTTCGCTCGACGATTGGCCGCTCTCGTTGGTTGCATCGCTTGCGATCTGAGCGCCCGCCGCGGGAGCAGGGGACATGGACGGAGAAAACGGGATGGACAGAGGATCCGCGTTCGCCGAGTACGGCGACGGCGGAGCCAGATCTGGCGGTGGAATAGTAATAGAGCCATCGGCGATTTCTGCCGGCGGGGAGAGACTCTCTGGAGGGAGAGCGACAGCAGGAGTCGCTGAAACTGAGTCGACCGGCCAAAATTCAGACGAATCCACATCGCTTCGAACGAAATTGGCCGAGAAGAGAAGGACGAGAGCAAGGGAAAAGATCGGTAGAACCGCCCGCGCCGCCATGGCTGAAATGCTGAGGTTAAAATGCAAGAGATCGAGATGGAGGAGGAAGAAGTTATGTAGCCGGGGGAGATGGCGTAGAGTTTTATAGAGGGGGGGAAACAATTCGAAAGTAGGGCGGGAGAGGGGCGGAGAAGTTGGGTGGGACGGCGGCGTGACGGAGGCTGAAACGGACGGTACCGGAGCTTTTTGGGATTGCTTAGCATTGGGTAAAAGTGCATTGCATGGCTATATGCTCAAATTGGTCCAAACCTTTTTCGACACATCACTTTATTCCTCAACATTTGGCATTGAACAAATTGTGAGGGACATCAACATTAGAAACTAGAATTAGTATTTTGATAAAGTTATCTGACAATAATTTTTTATGTTAATATTTTCAAAATTAAAATTGGTTGTTTTAACAAAAAAAGTAATTTGTTTTGCTAGGTCTACCATAAAGTAGTGTACCTCAAGCATACTACACTTTCTCACATACACGCACAGATATTCTTGTTCATGTGAAACACATATAATATGTGTTTATAAGAAGGTGGTGTGCACTTGAGTTACGGAGTACATTTAGGCCCCGTTTGGTACACGAAATTAAAATTATGGAATTAGAATTGAGGACTTCAATTCCAATTCTCATGTTTGGTAGCACAAAAATTATGTAGATTTAGAATTGGCAGTGCAAAAAATGAATTGGAATTAGTGAATTCATTTCTATGGAATTGAATCCCATAGAATTTTAATTCCAATCCAATTTTAATTCTATCAATTTCGTGTACCAAGCGAACCCTTAAGTTTTTTCTTATAAAATGTAGAATGAGAAAAATAATATGGATTTTTTTTTAAAAAAAATTGTATGCCAAATGGCCTATATCTATTTAATCCACATTAAGAAGACCAAACCAAGCCAATCGCAAGGAATTGGATCAGTTTCGTAAACCAAATCAAGCCCATTACGGAGCGGATTCGTCAAAGCCCGGCGAGTTGGGCGAAACATTCACAAACTCGGCCAGCTTCGATCTTCATTCGTAGAGGTTGCCGGAGATCCTCTCGGACTGTTCGCTCGTGACCGAAGATCCGTTCAGAGGTTCCGTCATGATCAGTATACTTTCTCAGGTGACGCAACCATTTCCGGTGTACAGTTCTGTTTGCGGTCTCTTTTGTGTTGACATAGTATATAACACGCAGGAGCGTCTGCTCGGAGCGGCATTGGGGAGCGCAGTCACGGCGGTGGTGGTATTTGAGCAACGCCGGAGTATTTACAAGACCATCTCCGACACTCAATCTCAACTTTTTCCTCATTCTCAGGTGAAATTTTCAAAAACGATCTCTCTCTGACTATCTATTCTCTAGCTCTACGTTTGAATACGTGTTCTCTTTTGCTTAGATAGAATTCGATGTCTTGATTTCTTTTTCCCCTTGAAAGTTGAGTTTGTATCTTCTCGAATTTCTATGTTGGACATGTTACCTGAATATAATTACAGGACACTTTAACTGGAGAACATCTCTAGAAAAGCAAGCATGTAGTTGAAAAGCTTCACCGATTGTATTTTGTAGCTAGATCTGCCTAAAACCTTGAGATTATTTATGCATAATCTTGTAGACTGATACAAAAACATTTACTAGCAGTGCCATTCTTTGGGCTGCCTTCCAGGTGAACTCATCATGTATGCCCTTACCCAAATGCATTGTGAGAACATAGTAGAAATGTCATGACTCCATCTACTGGCCCTTTACTATAGCTTGCCTTATACTCGATGAAATATATGAGTAGTTCCTTTCAATTAGTTCAGTTTTACCAGCACACTTGAAGTTCTAACCTGCTTGTAGTGGAAATGTAGACCATAGAATCAACAGGCTCACTAATATCTAGCCATGAAATGCCTTTAGTTAATTTAGTTAGCTATGGCTCTTCTTGACTCTTGAGTGGTCTAGCTATGTAGCTTGTTTATCACTAGTGTTTAGGACTTGGGTAAAAGTCTATGCTCTGTAAGAAACCACCCCACAGACCCACAGGACGCACACAACTAACCTAAAGCAGTCCAAGAGAAGTCTAAAAACAAGTATTGTGACATACTACAGTCCAGACATAACACTTGTGAAGAATGAGAAAGATGATTATTCCACCTTGTACAATAGTCTATCCATAACCACGTGATTTACTTCCTGTGCACCCCTATAGATCTACCAGACTAATGAGACTGTGTAGATCTTCAAAGATCTCCACCCAACAGTATTCAACACTTAAATTAGACTGCACATGAGTGCTTCTCCAGGAAAGGAGCAAAATAATTTATACATGAAAATCAAATTAGTTATAGACTCAGGCTGTATCCCGACTCATAATAGGCTTAATCCACTCAGTGCTGGTTGTGTACATGTCTATTATTTTGTTCTACTAGTCCTTCATCTCAAATGATCAAATAAATATTGAGAAAAACGAGTTGTATTCATTGAGATTACGGGGAAGTCATAGGGCTTGCTCCGCAAACACATGTACTCCGTTGTATTTATCATATAGTTGGTTAAATAAGTGAATATCTCATAAGTACTTTGGCATGCTTATCATATTACTCAATACCTTTTTTTCCCGTCATGATTTAGAGCTTTCCCATTTCAAATAGCATCAATTGCACAAATCTCCAAGGCGAGAGGCTTTTGAAGCCTCACAAGAGGAAAACATCTTTTTCTTTAAGAAGCTTCGCACTTGAGGCTTTTCAAAAAGTCTTTTCAAAAGGTGAATTTTTGTCACAGAGGCACTAGGAAGGGCTATCCGACTATCCGTACATGGAAAGTTTTCATTATTATTGTTTGTTATACCTTTGTTTTCGGGATGAAACTATGAAAAACTCTTCTTTTTGGTTGAATCTTTCTGAATTTGTTATATAAGCTTTTCCCTTAGCAGTTAACACTCCATATTTAAAACATATATTCTCATTATTTAATATCATACCAAAATTGTCAGAACCCCAAGGGTGGCACTATGGGGAGGCTCTTGAGTCTTGACCCTTGCGATTGATTATGTATTCATGCATTACGTTTTTTTTCAAATAGACTCCTCCCAACCCACGCACGCACACATACACACAAAGGATTTATGCTTGCATGTTAATTGTTTGAGGTGCAGCAGTTTGAATAAGCAATATGATATTATGATGTTGCAAATTAGAATTATAATGCCTTTTTTAGATACAAGTTAATTATTGTGTTACTGATGTGAATGTATGAATTAGTCACTCGCAAAATGTTGTATGTGCTTATTGTTTAAAGTAAATGATAGTCTTACTCTTTTGTAAAAATACACATAAAGATGTTAAGTTGACAAAGTTGGTGAGATTTTCTTTGTTAAATAACTCAAAATGTGCCTGACTCTGACCTTGTTTATATTGTGTACAATTTTGTTAGAGTATTACAACACTTTTTGAATATGTCGTTTATGTGTGAGCTAAGAACTATGATCACACATCCCCCCTGCCAAAGAAATCTTTTTGGCTGACATAAACTTTGGTAGTTGTGAGAGCTTCCCACTCATATAGCAGTCTCTTTCAAAAACATAAATGCAAGGTAAGACTTGCCTGCATCACACCTTCGTTCCCTTGTGATTGGGGCCTTCCCTGGACTCTAGCTGAGTTTAGACATTTCGTGTACTGGGCTGCATTTTTTATAATACCTACAGTTCTTGAACACAATTGAAGCATGAGTAGCAGAAATCAAACTAGAAGTTAAAAATCATTTGTGAAATGTTAAAATAACTCCTATTTTTTCCAGCATGCTTGAGATTTTCTGTTTTGTTTTACAGAGACAAAAACCAATATCTGTGAAGGAGCCCCGTGTTGAGGTTGCACACCTGTGGAATAAAGCAGTTGATCAGGTTATGGGATCTGTCATCAAGTCTGTTAGCTCACGTGGATGGTAGAAGTCATTGTGCAGTGCTTGAGCTGTTCTACAAACTTATTACTCTCACCAATGGCTTCCTTGAGATTTAGCCTTTTGTTCTATTGTGACTGCTAGGAAACGAGCCTTTGTTTTGCTGCAACAGTGCAGCCCATCGTTAGGTTACTTGTTTTGTTATCATTAATTTGGATTCATGCTCTTAAGAAACTCAACTCTTTTACTGTGTTGATATTTGAAGCTATTGTTGAAACTTGAAAGTTGAACTTTGTTCTAAAAATTTCCTTCTCTGCATGGAAGTGAATAAGTGATGAAGTTGTACTTTGAGTCAATGGGAAGGGGAAGCTGATATAGGGCTCCTCGAACCAAGTCGGGTTAGGAGGCTTTATAATGCTAGTATGAGTATTAGCTTCCTATTATCAATATTGGTGATAATTTCATATTCGTATTGGTACTCGGTTTTAGTTAAGTTTCTTTATACGAATAATGTAATAGATTAGGTTTCTATTTACTTGCTCACCGAGATCTGTGAGCCGTATGAATAGGCTTTCATTTGGCTTTAATTCTATTTTAACATCGAAATACTTTTACTGAACGGCCTTAACATTTATTCCAATCAAACTTTCTTCACCGAGAAATGCCTTACATTTCTTCAACAAGATAGCCAAACAAACTTAACATTGTCGATAATATCATACATTTCCAGGCTTTAATTCCAAGACTTTGGCAAGATAAAGTCTGTTTGGCTTTTGTTAAGGACGATGACATTTCAACCATGCTCATAAGAGAATTTTACTGATACACACACACACACAACACACACACACACACACCAAATTCTACTATTTTCTGTTTGTGTTTCAGGTTGTGTGACAGTCCAAAGGTTGCCATCAACTAGAAGCATGTGTCCTATCTAGTTTCAACAGACAAGGCAGCTAGAACCGGAATCAAGGTGTGCTCTCAAACTTCTGGCTTTTCCTTTGCCTTTACCATTGCAGCATCATTGTCCTTGTTCAAACTGTGCACCCGTTTGACCATCACAAAGAGAACGCCGCTGAGTGCCAAGAGTGCGGCAAATGCCAAGCCGATCAAAACCCAGGCTCCGGCTCCGACCATATATCTTCCTCCACTGTTCACACTCCTGCTTCCGTGATCAAGACTCGACTGAACATAAGAAGCCGCGGGAACCGGTGAGCATTCTGACTCTGATCTATTATTACTACATAGTCCTTCTCTAGCAGTAGTACTATTGTGGCTGCGTTGAGTGTCGGGGTGGAAAAATGCATATGCCTCGGGTGAGATTGCAATCGGGACAGCATTAGCGACGCCATGTGGCGATCGTTCTTCGGCTGTAACGGTGGATGGCAAAAGAACAAGTGCATAGAAAAAAATGGAGTAAGGGGAAGCCATGGGTTATAGCTATATGTTTTGCTCCTTATTTGGTTGTAGTTTAGAAAGAGTTCATTCTTATAAGCTGAGATTTGGTGGTAGTGGTAATGATGGGGGTGGTAGTGGTTGCTTAAAGTAGAATTTATTGCAGAAGAAGAAATACAAGAGGGGATCCACATGATAGGAATTTTATTAACACTATAATGTTTTTTTCATCCCCTCCACATAACCACGCATTCCCAAGAGTTCACTTGGTAATGATATCAATGGTTTTTTTTATGTCATGGTAAAAAGAATTGAAATCATTCTTGGTGCACTACAAGTTTGACACTAAAAAAGATTTCACAGATAACTTTTGTCGGCGACAAAAGTTGTCTGTGAAATCATTCTTTGGTGTCAAATCCGGTGTGCGCCAAGTTCAATTCTTCATTCCGGTATCCCCTTATGTTGCTCCAAGTGCAATTCCGAGCACTCTCTCGGGTTGGAGCACAACAAGATTGCCGTTTACTTTTCCCTATTATGGTTTCTGGCAATGTAACTCAGTTCATATTTGCTTGATAATCAACCAAATCTATCCCCGGATTCACATTAATCTGTCATTGTTGCAACTAGTTAGCATTCGAGCTAGTGTTTTAAGTGGGCAGAAGTTGTTTGATTGAACATAGTAATCACAAAAATTTTAGAGGAAAAAAAAAACTAAACTAAACTAAATTCGAGTACACGTTATTCATGCAGTCCACATATTGTCACTCCTATAGTCCTATCCCTCTTTCTAATTCTGCCACGTCAGCATTTTGATATTTGAGACACTTCTTCACACTTTCAGAAAAACTACCTCAATCTTCACGCACTTTCGGACCTTGTCACATCAGTATTCTATTAGCTTTTATTCTATTAACTTTTATTTCTATTCAATCAGTTATCTAATACATTCTTCATCCCTTAAAATTCTTTCCATTTTGACTTTTAGAAAAATTAAGGTTGGGATATTTTTGTGTTGACTTTTCAAAAATGCCCTTGATGTGATGGATAAATTATTAGTTAAAAAGTATGATATGATAGGTAAGGTGAGAATTAGTATGGGTAAAAATGGTTTTTTAATATAAAGGAGAAGGACTTGAAGGAACAAAAAAAAAAGAAAGTAGAAGAAGTTTATGGGACGGGGGACTATATCATTGTATTATACTCCCTCCGTCCCCCATAGATCTTCCCAATAGCCCTTTTTCTTTGTCCGTAATAGATCTTCCCATTTCATTTTTTAAGAATTAAAATACCACAACTACCCCCACTTACTTTATTTATTACACCTCACCCACCTCATTTAATACACTCCATTCATTTTCATTAAGGGTATTATGGTAAACTTTCACCTTTTTTTAACTCTCCTTAAAAACCACCAAAAGTCAAAATGAGAACATCTTAGAAGGACGGAGGGAGTACATTAATTTTTCTACCAAATTTGTTTATTACCATAAAGATATAATTAATCATTAAAAAACTCATCAACATAAAATTAGAGAAAATTATATAAAATTAACACACATAAAATACATAAAATAAAATGAGTGCGTAAAATCATTTAAGTAAACACAAAATATAACTTGCATAAAATAAAACTAGATGCATGAAAAATTAAAAATACATAAGTAGATATAATTAAAATGTATGATCGCTCCATTTTGGTTGGTCCTTAAGACAATGCCAAACATAAAAATAGTTAAATACAAAATTGCATAAAATAAAAATTATATAAAACAAAAAATAAAAGCATAAGAAAGTAAAATTATATAAGTAGGCATAATTGACTATTGAGTTTTTTCCCAATTGGAGAGCTCCGTACAAAATAATTGAAACTATTTTTTATTTTTTAAAAAAATACTCCTTCCGTCCCAAATTATTTGTAATGTTTGTTATTTCAGCAGTCGCGAGAACTTTTATTTATTTCTACGTTTTCATTGGTTATTTGATAAAATAAAATATTCTTGACACCTCTTATTTCGAAAAACTTTTCATGTAGTTTTTTGACATGTAAATTTTATTTTTTATTTCTACACCAATATGTAAATAAAATGAATTGAAAAAATTTGATACTTTGTCTCGGGAATACAAGTGGCAAATATTTAGGGACAGAGGAAGTAATTATTATTGATTACACGTGTCTGATTTTTATTGGATAGATTGAGTTGAGAGTCTTGAGAGTGAGTATTCAAAGACTCGTTTTTAGACTAATTTCCTCATTTTCGGTGCACCCAAATGATAAAGTATGGAGAAAAAAAGTTTAAGATTCTCTCCAGACTCCCATTGGGGATACCCTTAAACTTTGTTTTTCATGTTGTAGACGTTTAATGGCTCATGAGTGTAAGGCCTTATTCTATTTTCCCTATTTCTAAATGAAGGCTAAAGTTTGGATGCACTGGTAATTTTAATTAATATCTGAAGTTGTGAGTCAGAAATCCGGAATTTGCAATCCTAATTAATATGTCAAAGTTGTTGATCAAGAACAAGTATGAATTGAATTGTAATGAAATTTTTGAACTTCTGTATTTTTCGAGCAAGCCTTGCTGGACGGAGAGGGGGGAAGAGATGCAGTCACGTCTCTCTTCTAAAGTTCGCGTCTAATCCACGAAATTTTGAAGGGACGTTTTTTGGAAATTCTTTACACCCAAATTTTGAAAATTAAAAATTCAAGTAAATTTTTAACACAACAATTTGTCCAAAATAAAAAAATTCTGAGAGCATCCCTTGGGGGCACTGCCCCCTTGGAACCCTCGTTAAAACGGGACTTTTATCATAACAAACTCAACGAAATTTGCATTTCGTACCACCAAACTTCTTTGATGATTATTATGATATCATTGGTCAAAAAGTTATATCAATTACACTAAAATATCCTCCGTATAACAATACATTTAGGAGGAAGCAATCTTGACAAAAGTTACAACCAATTAGCCTATTTTACAATATGAGTTAGACTTTAAGGTTTCCATTAATGGAAGACTATGGTTGAAGTTAAACTGGGTTTTGCTTGGCTTAATGTTGCAGCAAAGTCTATTAATTACCTCAAGAGGCTTTTTTTTGTTTGTTAATAGCATGGGATAACTACCTCAAGAGGGGCATATGATTATAATAACTAATGAAATAAAGAGTGTACACTTTTTGTTTTTCATTCATTAGGTAGGTAGAAAGAAAACGCATGCTTGAGAAATGAATGCACTCCCAAGTCACATTATTGTCCCACGAATCCCAAACCCCAAAGTGGTGGGTAATATTTCTATGGAAAATGTTTGGTTCACAAACACAACGATTACAAACTTCACAAATTTACTATTTGTAAACTTCAATGAAAAAATTAAATGGTCTAAAATGATTTTAAAATAAAATTTTAAATCATAAATAGTAAGTTTGTGAAGTTTGTGAGTATTCTGTTTGTGAACCTAGCATTGCTCTATTTCTATCACCTAAATTAATCTTTCCAGTTACTATTATAATCTAAATTATCATCTTTCCATTTCTTGTTTAATAAAATAAAAAGAAATTGGTCTGATTTTATTTTGTAGAACTTTTTATATATAGTTTTAAACAATACAATTTGTACTATTTATTTCTACACCAAATGGTAAGAATGAATTGGATTGACCCACCCATTCACGATAACAAAAAAAACTAATGGGATGTTAGCTATAATCGTGTCATCTTCAATCTGATCTACTACGATACTATTTAAATACTCCCTCCGTCCCCAATTTGATTACAAATTGCGGGTTACGGAGTAAAATTTTCTACTTTTTGAAATCATTTTATTTACAAATTGGTATATCAATAAGATATACAAATTACATATTAAAAAACTGCGTAAAAAGTTCTACAAAACAAGAGGTGACAAGAATATTTTATTTTATCAAATAGTTAATGAAATCGCGTAAACAAACAAAATTTATCGAGAGGAGAGAGAAAAAAGATTGTAATCTATTTAGGGACGGAGGGAGTACTTTTGAGAAAAAAATATTGACTCACACTTAAGGGTAAGTACCAAACATTTGTTTTGTTTTAATAAAAAAAAAATCACCCTAAATAGGACTAAAATATAGAAGAAATATCAAAATAAGAGTTCAATGTTTTTATTCTCAAAATAAGAATTCCCTCTGTAGTAATGTAGTACTGTACATGTACATTTTACGTAATGTACATAGTCATGTTTGATAATATAAATGCATTTTAACTTCTATTTCGAAAGTAAAAACATATAATTCTTATTTTCTTATAGAGTGATAGAATTTAGGATGGGTATGGACTACTGGATTGGGCAATAAGACACTTGGGTTGAACCACATTAAAAGATTGAATCCAATCGATTAGTTAGTTCAACTCAACAACTCAAGGGCTTATATACCGGTTTATTTTCCCTTCAAGTTCCCATGTGGGATACTCTTTTAACACTCTCTCTCAAGTGGACAACTGGGCCATTTTGACTCTAACCGGTTGACCACTTGCAAATGGACTCCCATCCCTCGATTTTTTTTTTTGAGCGCCAACACCTAAAGGACCACGAGCCGCTGGGTATGGACTTCCAGACGAGCAATCGTGTTAAACGGGCCACAGGCCGTTGGATACACACGCCATACGGACAACTGGGCTAGAGACTAACGGGCCGCTAGGAATGAACGTCTAGACGAACACCTTGACAAACGAGGTGGGCTAAAACTGGCTTTGATACCATGATAGAATTTAGGATGGGTATGGACTACTGGATTGGGCAATAAGACACTTGGGTTGAACCACATTAAAAGATTGAATCCAATCGATTAGTTAGTTCAACTCAAGAGCTTATATACCAGTTTATTTTCCCTTCAAGTTCCGATGTGGGATACTCTTTTAACATAGAGTATGCCAAAAATATTAAGCAATGTTGTAAATCGTGAGATATGAAGCTAATAATACGTTCTTCGTATCTCAAGAAATTAAGCCCCTTCTCTGGGCTTTAAAAAGTTATATTCATACGACAAAGTCCATCTCCCTTCCAAATTGGGCTCAGCCCATCCCATCTCAAGTGGGTTAAATCCTCTTACCAGACATATACTCCCGTGGTTTGGGCCTGAGTATAGTACTCCCTCCGTTCCACAAAATCATTCTAGTTTTGCCTTTAAGAAATTTAAAGAGAGTGCATTTCTTGTTGACTTTCTAAAAATATTCTTGGATGTGATAGGTAAATTGATAGTAAAAAAGTCTGATGTGATAGGTAGGTTAAGAATTAGTAGAGATAAAAATAGTTTTTTAATTGAAATGAGAAAGATCTTTTGGGACGGATAAAAAAGAAAGGAGAAAGATTATGTAGGACAGGAGTATTAATTATTGTAAATCCGAGGGTTAAATCCGCTACACGCGCGCCCCTGCACGCGCGTGCGTGCGCACACACAAACTGCATTCCTTTTAGTTGTATCAAACTTAAATTCTCCCTTTCGCCTTTCATTTAAAAAAATGTACTTCAAACATTTATATAATCAAAATAAACTTTTAGTGCACATTTTTATTTTCAGCACTTCATAAAATGGAAAAAAACTTCATGAGTGGGGGAGCATAGATTTTTTTGACACTAATAACTCTATAACAATATACATGGTAACTATATAGTTGGAATTCACTTGAAGAAAACACAAGACTGCAAGAGTTGTAAGGGCACTGGCAATGGGTGTAACGCCAGAGGACGTCATTGCCTTTTTAACCCGTGAGGGACACTAAACACCGCCTTCATGGGGCTTCATCCAAACGGCATCCCCACTACATCAAATCTTTAACGGACGTATTTGCAGCGGGCCCCTCCATTCAAACGACTACAAAGCCGTTACAAACTTAAAAAAGTCTCTTCTATAAATTAACTCCTTTTTAAAAATAAAACTCGCAACTCTTCTTCAGAATAAAAAAAAACTAAACACACAATATCTCTCTTCTTCAAATTAAAAAAATTCTTCAATTTTTTTCATCTTTTTTAACATGAATCCTTTGAGTTTTAACATTACTTTGTCTGGTCTCTATCGAACAAAACGAGCAGCAGAACAAGATCAAGAATAAATATAATGTTCTTTAGTTTTTTAGTTAATGTAATTTTTTTAATTAAATGTTCTTTTTTAAAAAATTACTACCTCCGTCCCAGAATATTTGTCCACTTTCATTTTTAGACACCATCCAATACACCTCTTCAATCCATTTTATCTTGTAATTTATATATTAAAAAATTATAGAAATTATATATTAATAATCTATATGTTAAGACAAATCAAACAAGATCACACATGACTATATTTAGGCTTACACATTGAGAGAATTTGATGAGTCAAAGTGCTTAGATGAACAGTTCCAAAAGTCAAAACTGGACGAATACTCCGGGACGGAGGGAGTACCTTTGAAGCCCTGGGACTACAAAGGTATTTCCAGTACTCTAAGTTATTCATTTTTATAAGGAATAATTACCCAAAATAATCTCAACTTTACCCGGTCTTTCAAAAATAATCACACCTTTCATTGTGATGCATAATAATCCCAACTTTACTGAAATTTGCCAGTTTTGGGTCGCTGTTACGTTTCTAAGGGAGGGTTAACGGAAATGCCTGTTTTAGGCAACAAAATGAAAGTTGGGATTATTTTTTATGAATTTTCTTTTTTTTTATTTTTTTTAAATTTTTCATTTAAATTTTTTAAATTACTTTCTACCTCCATCATCATTTCTTTTTCCTTTTTTAAGGTTTAGTCTTAGTTTAAAAAATAAAAAATAATATATATAAAAAATAAAAAATGAGAAATGTAACTAAAATGATACAAAAATAATAAAATAAATAAGGTAATCAATGGAAACTAACTTGAAATTGGTAAAAGTAAAATAAAAATATACGGGTGGGTTTTAATATTTTACGCATTATACAAAGTATTAACATATCACTTCTTATTTTTTAGAAAAAATTATCTATAATAATTCCAACTTTACCGGACGACTTGTTCTTTTAAAAAATAAGTAGTACATTAAGACTCCGTATAATGTCTAAAATATTAAAACTCACCACTCCGTATATACGGAGTATTTATTTTATTTCTTACCAATTTCTGTTTAATTTCTATTGATTACATTATTTATTTGATTAATTTTGTATGTTTTTAGTTATTTTTCTCATTTTCATTATTTTTTATATCTATTTTTTTCTAAGGTAAGAATAATCTTTAAAAAAGAAAAAGAAATGGAGATTGAAAGTATTTCAAAAAAATTAAATAAAAATTTCAAAAAAAATTAAAAAACAAAAATTCATCAAAAATAATCCCAACATTCATTTTATTGTCTAAAACGGGCATTTCCGTTAACCATCAGTTAGAAACTTAACGGCGACCCAAAACTGGCAAATTTCAGTAAAGTTGGGATTATTATGCATCACAATGAAAGGTGGAATTATTTTTGAAAGACCGAGTAAAGTTGGATTATTTTGGATAATTTTTCCTTTTTATAAAGAGTAGAGTTTCTTTTTAGACAAATGAAAAAAGAAAGAATATTTTTTTCGAGACCGGGGGAGTACATTATATCCAGAAAAAAGAGTGAATTCCCTACTTAATTGGGTGAACATGCATCATTTTACCTCTAATTTAGATGATAATACTGTAAGCAACAACATTACTATTGATCATATTACTCCGATATAAATTATACACTCCATACTACAAATGAAAATTAAGTACTCTGTATTTATAAAGTGATCAAAAAATACTCTAGCCTGCCCGAGTTCGAAACACATACTACTCAAAACCCATAATTCAGTTCAAACCCATACCATAACATAAAAGAAACAGGCTTTAATTCCTAACCTGACCTATTGCGCATGTTGAATAAACCTACCATTTACATCCAAAAACACCACACCGGCGACAATGCAACAGACCACGAATAGGACAACCCAAATTCACAACATGAAATTGACAATCCAGTAAAAGAGTATATGTTTCTAAAACTAGGACCAGAACAACCTCCGTATAGTAACAAAAAGTAAATGAGCACAAAGATTCTTCGCAATATGATGTTCTTCTCCAATCTCTCTATATATATGCATAAGTAGCAACAAAGCCATACGGTATGGTCTAGGGTTGGGTTAGAGCATATAATCTAAGGCCTCGGGTTGAATGATTCATCAAACATACGAACTTAAAAAGGACAAGCATAACAACTGAGACCATTTGTTTAACTATGTAAAATCCCTATTGGTCTGAAGTTCTTGGTTTTACAATTTATAGAGGTACTCGGTATAAGTCGAATAAAAATCTTTAAACTAGACAAGTCATACTAGTTCTGTAAATTTTGAGAAAAATGCACCAAAAAACAGATTTCATCTTGTTTTGTATTCATAATCGTGTTTTTTCCATTTCACAAATGGAAAAGCATTATACCAGCCCTAAGATACATGTCATTTCCATTCATTTAGCAATGACATTTCAATTCAAAGCATTTCTAATTCAAGAATGGCATCATTTAGCAATGCAAGCAAAAGGATAATCTTGAACTTTACACAACAGCAAATCATTTCATCAAACACACCAACTTAAAAAGTACAGGCATTACAACTATGCCATTCAACTTGTTGATGAACAATTTCAAGAGGTACTTGGTCTAAGTTGTGTAATTTTTTAAACAAATGGAACCAAAAAAACAGAAAGTTTTGTTTTCAAAATCGTATTTTTTTTAGATTTCACAAACCAAGAAAAAGGGAGCAGAAAAGCATAACGGCAGCCCTGAGATAAATGGATTTCCATTCATGGAATGGCATCACTTAGCAATGCAAGCAAAAGAGAATCTTGAACTTTAACCAACAGCAAACAACATTTCAATGGAGCATGAAAGAACAACCTCCTAATGTCTGAAACAAGAAAACCAAGTCTTCTCATCCAAAATTCTCTCACAGGGGAATAAAACAAAAACAATGGAAATGAAATGGCGTATCAGTCCAGAGGAATATCTACCTCTCCATCACAAATCTCCTGCTGCAAATCCTTTGGGTCCTTTCCATCTACTGTGCACCCGACGGAAACGCAGGTTCCGAGGATCTCCTTAACGGTGCCGGACAAATCTTTCGCCATGGAACGCGGCCGCATGATCTTCGCGATCTCGATGACATCGTCCACGGAGATGTTTCCGTTGTGCTTTATGTTTTTGGTCTTCTTCCGGTCGCGCTCAGGCTCCTTGAGGGCCTTGATGACCAGAGCAGCGGCGGAGGGGACGACGGAGACCTTGGCCTGACGGTTCTGGACGGTGAGCTTGACGGTGACGCGGAGGCCCTTCCAGTCCTTGGCAGTCTCCTTGGCGATGTCCTCACCGATCTTCTTGGGCGAGAGACCGAGTGGACCGATCTTAGGAGCGAGCGAACTGGCGGCGCCGACCTCTCCTCCGGTGACACGGACGTAGACCTCGACGACCTGAGATGGATCGAACTTCGGCGGCATTGTGGCGAGCACAGAAGTTCAGACGGCGAGGCTAGGGTTTTGCGGGAAGGGAGTGTGAGGGAATATGACGCGATGATTATAAATTAGGGCTTTGGCATACATGGGCTTCTAGGCAATGTCTTTCCTGCCGCTAGGCTTCGGTCCATTAAAGAAGCTAATGTATTTAAGGCCCGTTTAGAAGTTGGTGATTGGCTGCTGGTTGTTAGCTGTTTGTATGGCTTGTTTGATTGGTTGGTGGAGTTAGCTGTTTTGACCGATCAATTGCATTACATGTTCACAAAAAAATGTTTGACAAACTTAGTTGCTTTTAAATAGCTATTTTGGATGTGATTATATTTATAAAGTTAATTTTATGTATATGATTTGTATAATATATAATAATTTATATAATATGAATTAAATTTATAAAATATAATATGTTCTGCAATATAATATAATATAATTCATATATCCAATATATATAGACTATTTAACAAATTATACTTATTATATAAAAAAATTCTGACCATTATTTGCCTTCCATTTTGATGTATTTATTATAAAAAATAATATTTTGACTAGAGTGAATATTTTTTGCTTACTAGGTTTTCCTATTAAAAAGGACAAGTATTTGCCTTCCGTTTTGAGGTATTAGACTATTTAACAAATTATATTTATTATAAAATTTATTTAATATGTAAGTTTTTTATTTTTGTACCAATTTTTGAATAAAATAATTTAAAAAAAAATTACCTCGTAAATTCTAAGTGAATTTCCATTTTGGGGATGCAAAGTGGTTATTATTTACTCATTTGTTTATTTGTTTTTTATTTACTTCAAATTTATTTTTGTTTATTTATTTAATATTTGTACAATAAATAATTATACTCAAACAATCAACTCGAAAAACTACTCCTCACTATCATCATCATCATATATCATATCATATATCATATCATATCATATATCATATATCCTTTATTATATAATAAAGGAGACTCAATGCACCAGAGCTTGACATTTGGCATGTACATGTGGATCATTTTTACACAGTTGGCTTACACATAATCTAAGTAAGAAAATTAAAGGAATTGAAATAGTTTATCCGGTGCTTTTTGACTTCCAAAGTAAATGCTTTCCTCTCCAATTCGGTGCTTTTGGTTTACACAATCTATGAAATATTTTATTCAGAATTAATATCGATGTCTCACATTCTTATATACAATTCATAGATTGAAGATCCAAACAGATGCGATGTCGATGACGATGACCTTCATCACTCGTCTCCTTCAGGGTAGCTTCTATCTCCATATGTATTTAGCTTCTATCTTCTATCAAAAGGTGCCATGGCTATGGCGTTCAATCATTCCACCTAATTTTTTTATTCAATTTCTAGAATTTAAAACTTATCCAAATTAGATCAGATTTTTAGAAATTTATTTTCTATTTTTCTTCGAAATCGTTTTAAGGGGATAATAATAATGGGTTTTTAGATTTAATTTCAAAAATAAAACTTGACCGGAATTTTTTTCTGAGTATTTTACCTAATTTTTTAAATTTAATTTCTATAAATATAAGCTTACCAATATTAAAGATGATTTTTTATGGTGCTTTCCTCATGAACGGAAATTCAATTCCTTTTTTCCTTTTTTCTCAATATTGTACCTATTTTTTAAATTTAATTTCTATAAATATAAGCTTACCAATATTAAAGACGTTTTTTGTGCTTTCCTTATGAACAGAAATTCTCAACAAATTCAATTTATTTTTTTTCTTCAAAATTACTTTAATTAACAAATAATATTGACTTTTTAAATTGCAACATTAATGACTATTTAATTGGTCATCCCAATTGGCTATAATTACCTTTTTTTGGAATATTCACTTTACTTAAATAAAAACAGAATGATTTGTTTATTAAATTTGATATATTAAATTTGAGAGTTAAACTCTTAGAATTGTGACAAGTGACGAGTCTACATGAGAACATTTTAACAAATCACTCGCCACCTATTAACTACTTGAATGATGTGGCAATTTTAATTAAAATATGGGTAGATCCAGTTTAAGTTGTATACGGAGTATATGCCTTATGTACAAAGTGCCGCTATGATTTTTTGAAAAAAAATACTCCGTACCATAATAAGAATAAAACATGGAGAAAGTACCAAAATAAAAATGCATATTTTTTATCTCTAAAATAGGAGCTACCAAACATGAAGAGATTCATTAGTTTCAAAAAAAAGTTATTGTTAATACATTTCTTTCGAAAGACAATGTTCTATATATCGAGGTTAAAGTATACAAAATTGACCAAGAGAAGTCAAATAAGAAGGTTAAATTCAAACACAAAGGGTGTATTATGGAAGAAATTAGGACCTTCATGAAATTTTATGCAATTGAGTAAAAACTAAAATTTATATTTTTGTTTAAAAATTTTATAAATTCAACTTCTAATATAATTTAAAATAATAGTATAAAATTTAAAATCAACTTCTAAAATAGTGAGTGAAATTTAAAATTTATTTTCTAACTTATTTATAATCAAATAATACACTTTTTATTAAACTTTCAAATTCATATTCGTGACTAACAAAATATTATTCATGTCTAACAATCTTGCTCCTATTATATGGATGGAATGCTTACAATAATTAATCATATCAGAAATTATTAGTGGTCTAATTGATGTGTTCCATCATCTGCATGTTAAAAGACAATATCAAATTTAATAACCTTCAAAGGCTTCATGATTGAAATGAATATTTTTTGCTCATCATCATCTTATAGTTATTTTTCATGCAAGTTGAACTTTTTTTACGATTTTAACTCATTTTAATTTTCATCTTTGGTGTACCTTTATAAGAAGGACTTGAAAAGTATTGATAAATTGACACATTTTTAGAATAATTTTTTCTGATATTTTAGACATGTTTTATGGAAACTCCTATATATTAAACAATACAACTTCAAGACCACTTGATTACTTACTAAAATTAATCAATTACAAATATTTATGAATAGAAATTCATATCTATGGATCAAAATCAATACCGAAAATATATATGGAAGGAAAATAATTATACTCGGAGGTGACTTTTGGTAGATCTTTCCAGTTTTACCCAGAGCTTCCAGAGAGAAAATTGTAGGTGCTACTATCAATTCTTCACATTTGTGGTCGTGTTGTAAAGTTTTTACATTGTCCAAGAATATGAGATGGAAAGCTAGGTCAGGTGATTGATGGAGTTAGTGATGTCGATATTCCGCCTGAATTCTTAATTCCTGACACAAGTTCACCTATCAAAAGTATAGTAGACTTCACTTATTCGAATATGTTAGAGAATATGAAAACTTTTTTTTTTGAGGATAGAGCACTATTGGCACAAACTCTTGAAGTAGTTGAAATGATAAATGAATTTGTCCTATCTCTTATTTCTGGTTATGAAAAGGAGTACTTGAGTTCTGATTCTTCTTGCCAATCAAATGCAGATGTAGGTGTTGATGCGATTGGATAAGAGTGAAGTTTTTGAATGAAATCAAATGTTCGGGAATCCCCAACCACAAAATAGTTTTGAAAAAAAGGGTGTCGATTATGCTTTTGAGGAAGATTGACCAGACATCTGGATTGTGTAATGGAACCAGATTAATCGTTCAAGAGCTGCGAAACAATGTTATCGATGCAATTGTGGTGTCGGGAAATCGAGTCAGGGAAAAGGTTTACATCCCAAAAATGAATTTGGTACCATCTGATCCATGACTACCCATGAAGTTCTAAAGGAGACAATTTCCAATCGTTTTATGTTTTGCTATGACTATCAACAAAAGTCAAGGTCAAACATTGTCATTTGTAAGATTATTTTAATATTTCGCGAGTAAAGACAAAGACGAGATTAAAAATATTAGTTCTAGATGACGATGGAAACCATTACAACCATACCAAGAATGTTGTATAGCCTGAAGTCTTTCAAAAAAATTGGTATTAAAATAAATATTGTTCAGTCTATGTTCAATTGCTCGAATATTATTAAGTCTACTTTGGCATTTTACACCTATTGTTATAAAAATCATGTGAGAAGTATATTTTCTTTATTCCAAATTAAAACATAAATTTCAGAACAAATTTTAGAATCGACAAAAATTGTGTATTACCCCGTGCATCGCACGGGTAGAAATACTAGTACTAGTATATTTATAAAGTAGAGCGGATTAATTGCCATTGCGACATGTGTCATGCCACGTCATCATTTTTATTGCCAACTGTGCTGCCAAATCATGCCATGTCATGCCACTTAATTTCATTTTAATCAACTTTATATCGCTTGATATATATTTATAAAGTAGAGCAGATTAATTGCTATTACGATATGTGTCATGCCACGTCATCATTTTTATTGCCAACTGTGCTGTCAAATCATGTCATGTCATGCCACTTAATTTCATTTTAATCAACTTGATATCACTTAATTTTTATTTAAATGAGGCAATTAATTAAGAGAGAAGAAAATGAAAAGCCACATAATTATATAATACATAAACTTTATTGATAGAGTTTTAAATAAATATATAAAACAAATATACGCGCGATATTGATTTTAAAATTTCCTAAACAATTTTTCTATACCCTTCACTTTTTAATATTAAATAAAAATTGTTTAATTAATCTTTTATAATGCCCTTAACTTTCAAACTATTTAAAAAATATCCATTTCATCATGACAACATATTTTTTAAATATGCATAAGCTGATAAGCATGCAGTTATTTTTAAAAATAATATAAACTTTATTAATTGAAAAACAATATTGTATATAAATTTTAAAACTATGCACGGTACCATTTATTTTTTCTATTACGGAGTAGTTCTAAAAACTATTGAATACATTTATCCCTATGCATCTTTACTAACTACATTTTTTTTAATTCAAACGTTAATATAAATTGTATCACATACGCATCGTTATTCGCTATAAGATTTATTTTAGAATTTTTCATCATACTTTGTTATATATGTGTCTCTATAGTCTATACGCCAATGTAGTGTGATTTAAATTAATTTGTTTCTTTCAAATCTTATGTAGATTTTTACTTTTTTGAACTATTTACGTTTTTA